GGGGGGTCTTCGTTTTGGACATTTGGGGGGGTTTTGTCCAAAACGAAGACCCCATTAAAAATCCTTGAAACGTTCGTGTTTTGTTGTTAGTTATGTTCTGCGTGACATAACGCACTTTTGGAACGATTTTGAATTGATTTTCTTGGGGTCTTCGTTTTTGGGTCTTAGGTCTTAGGTCTTCGTTTTATGCCCACCCGTAGGAAACTCTTGAGCTTCTCCGTGACGGCCCATTTCAAGGCTAACAACTCCAGTTTCATAGAACTATAGTTTCTTTCATTCTTTTCTGTTGGTCGTAAGCGTCTGCTGGCATAGCTAATGACACTTTTTCTATCTTCCTGTTCCTGGTATAGGATAGCACCAAGTCCTGCAAGACTTGCATCGGTTTCGAGTATAAACGGCTTAGTGTAGTCGGGGTATCCTAACAACGGTGGTGTAGTCAGTTTTTCCTTCAGAGTGTCAAATGCATCTTGCTGACGTGAGGTCCATCTTGATTCCAATGAGACGTTAGAATGTTTCTTAGACAGGGCCAACTCGTTCAGACAACTGTTTTTTTAACTGTTTTACTTAAAAGTAGGCCGTGTAGAGGTCCTGCGATTTGACCACACTTCTCGATGAACTTTCTGTAGTATGACGCGAATCCAAGGAACGAGCGTAACTCTTTCAGTGATTTAGGAACGTCCCAGTTAGCAACTGCTTCAATCTTGTCAGGGTCTGGAGCTATTCCATCAGCTGATACTTCGTGACCAAGGTAGGTAACTTTCGTTTGTAGGAACTTACATTTTGCCGGTTTCAACTTTAGACCATACTTTTCAACTCTTTCTAATACGGTTTCGATCCTTTTTAGATGTTCTTCGAATGTCTGTGAGTAGATAATTACATCATCAAGATACACAAGTAAGATATTAAACATGAAATCATTCATGCAGTTCTGCATCATACGTTGGAAGGTAGCGGGCGCATTAGTTAAACCAAATGGCATCCTATTGTACTCGTAAAGACCAAAAGCAGTGGTGAATGCAGTTTTGTGCTTGTCCTTTTCATCCATGGCGATTTGATTAAATCCACTGGCTAAATCAACTAGTGAAAAGTACTTTGCTCCTTGGAGGGMATCAAGCGACTGTTCGATTCTTGGTAACGGATAAGCATCACGTACGGTTTTGGTGTTCAATTGACGGTAATCAACACAATGTCTTAACTCACCATTTTTCTTCCTTACCAGTACAATTGGTGACGCATACGGACTATGGCYTTCACGTATTACTTCACGGCTTAGTAACTTCTGGATGTGTTCTTTGACTTCTGTCAGCTGGTTTGGTGGTATCCTCCTGAAAGGAAGATTAACTGGAACATCATTGTTAGTATAAATTCTATGAGTAATACTGTCATATATCCTACGTCATAATCATTTATAGCAAAAGCACTCGCATGCTTAGTTAGTAATGCTCTTAGTTGGTTGTAACCAGACATCATCTACATTCAAGTTAGCCATTCTTACGTACGCACCTCCATTCTTGACATTCGTATAGGTATCTACGAGGACTAAATTACCAGTAATTGATGTGTTTAACCTTTCTATCAAGACCCCTTTTGAATTTGCTCCGATATGGCCACATGTAACGCGTACAATAGCAACTGAACCACCTGGTACTCTGACATTCATTTTGCCACGCGCGCAAATCCCCCAGTATATGGTTTCGTTGTAGTTGTCGCTTCCACTCTCAATACGTTGGCCCACTTTTCATCGATTCTTTCAGGTCTTATGGCTACTTTCTCCTTCATTTGGCTTATCACATTCATTCGAATAAGTACTGGTAACCTCGTTTTATTTCCACTTGTTACGGTATCTTCACAACTAATACACCTCTTACGGGTACCTTTACCCCACATGCTTCAACATCAAGCTCGATATAACCTGCATAGGGTATATCAAGTCCATTGGCTGCAGTTAACTTCAGCCAACCGTTCAAAGGCTTTAATGCCTTGTCAACAAAATAAAGAATTTAAAGATACTTTCAGTTAAGGTCGTAACTTACGACCCCGTGTCTAAAATGCACGGCACTTTAACGTTATTCATAATCACATAAGCTGTAGGGCAAGTCCCTACAGTCCTCAACAAAATATCGTCCAAATCATCTGGGACAAAAGAGTCTTCAACAGTCCCACCCACAGTGTGACTCAACACTGAGGGGGGTTTTCGTTTGACGTTTGGCTGCCACGTCTCGGTTGTCTTCTTCTGTCTGGGCACTCTCTCGCTCGWTGACCCATCTTTTGGCAGTTAAAACATCTAATTTCTCTCGGGTAATTGGTCTGTTTGATAGATTTCACGGTGTTCGTTAGGTCTTCAATTAACTTCTGCTGTTTTAACATCGCATCTTGCAATTCTTTGAGGTCTTTGKTTTGACCGGAAGCGGAAACAGCTTTGCACGTTGCGTCATTGTGATTTTGGTTGCTACGTAACGAGTGGTCGGCGGTTTCATCTTCTGACCATCGAAGAGCTTCCTCGCGGACGTTGAGAAATGAAACTTCTGTTTGGCTCCTTACAAATTTCTTTAATTCTTTTCGAAGAAGAGAATCCTTTACATTATCGATGAATTGGTCCCTCATCGTTGTGTCAGCTGGCTTTTCATCGGCCGTCGATCTTTGCACAATTCTCTCGAAGAGACCAGACAAAGCATATGAATACTGGCGAAGGTAAGGAGTGTTTCTCTCCGAATTCTTTCCTTAGTGTTTCTAGCAATCTTTTGGGATTGTTTTGCTCACTCTTATGGTAGAGGCGGATTTCTTCTCGTGCCGTCCCTTCAGTCTATGTGCGAAAGTATGAATTCTACTTGCTCTGGATCTGGCATATTTCTTGTATCGAAAATAACTGTAATATCTGAAATGAATTCCTCGACATTGGCATAATAGTTAGTAGAGTCATTATGTGAATGTCCATCAAACTTTTTTCAATTTTCTTTCTTGTTTATAGATATACAAACTGTTTCGTCTCAGATTGACGACTTACCAGCTCCGACTGCAGTTTTGCCACAAGATCTCTCAGCTCTTCAACGTTTTACGTCATTTCTGAATTGCCTYGCCGTGACAATACACTATAATTATTTCTCTGGTTATCTGATCTTCTTATACTTCTCTGAGTTATACCCTGCTCGCAGCACCGAAAATGACCAAGTTCACAGTCAAGTCAAGTATTTGTGTTTACGTCCAAACAAGTGGCCAACAAGCGGCGAGAACAATTCCCAATAAAACCGAATGTTAACTAAGATAAAACTTGAGMTTTAACTTGTGGACTTTGGCTTGAGAAAACTGCTTCAAAAACTGTTGACTTCTTCAAAAGACGTGATAAAATRATTCGCGAGAAAGCTCGCGCTAAGAAAACTAAACTGAACACAAAACTGTGGGTGAGCTCATCACATATGCATAACAAGTGTCTCAACTACCTTGGAAACGCCTTTTCAAACAAGAAGGTCTTAAGCTGCGTTTTGAATTCCGAAATTGATGAAAGATTACGGATACAAGAGGGTAGGCTGTTCCATAGGCAAGGCGCGGCTACTGTGAAAGAAACTTTGTAAGTGTTCTTGTCCGGGGACGCTGTAGAAGGAACCCCTGACTATTTCTTAGGCTATATCTGGATACASGCTTTACATTTATGAGTTCCTTAATATATGACGGAGCCAAACCAAATATTTTAAAGTCAATCCTAAATTTTATAGGAAGCCAGTGTAAGTCCATGAGGGTGGGAGTTACGAGGCTCCGGGGAAATAAAAGAATAACTGCTCATCTGCTAGTGATGAGTTCCAAAACAAGATTATCCATTGTTTTCCCGGAGCCTCGTGTGCGTTCTTTTGTACTTAATACACACTTTCAACACGATGCTACTGAAGGACAACTTCATCACTTCGAAACACTTTCATTGTTTTGAAGTATTCCTTATTTTTAATATCTTGGTGTCTTAAAGTCGGGGAGGGTTTTGAATTCAGCAGGGAAGAGTGGGGCTGATGAATTAAACAAAAGAGGTCATTATCGCGAGGTCATTATTGCGAGGTCATTATTACTAGGAGGTCGTTATTAGCCGAAATAATGACTTCAAGAATATCTGGGTAGTTTTCATAGAAATACGAAATTTATACAAAGAGAACAGGTGACAACAACAAGAAATAATCTTTAATGAACATTCAATGCACTATGATTAGGCTACCATAGATTATTATTTCAATCAATAAATCATAAATTATATGAAAGTGTAACACTTTGATAATAGTAGCTGGTATAGAGTGATTTTCTTGATCCGTCAAAGCCTTATAGCCGACTTAGGGAAAGAATTCTCTACTATAAGCTTAGTTTTACCTTAAAGGTCTTTAAACAGAACAATGNTATCTAATGCCTCTTTTGGGCATCTTTCTATGTAACTCTTCACAATTCGCACAATGCATTTCTCTGGACATTGGACGTTAGCATATGCCCTACTAACTTTAGGAGTTAGCTTACGATGTTTTAAACCACCCTGGATGGTTTTAGACACACCCTCAGAATAAAGCAAATATTCCCTTCCCTCGGAATCACAATGAAATGAAAAATTCCTTATGGACAAATTTCTATGCTCATCCCCAGCCCGCATCCCAAAATTTAGGCCTATCAAATAAAGAGTTGTTCTCAACAAAACTTTGGGACAACTATCTCCAAGAATTTTTTTCCCCAAAGATCATTCTCCATTTCTTCGGAAATAACTTGTGCTTGTTTTCTTTGTAAGCCTAGCTTATTGCTGGTAGATGTTTTCATTTCCAYGYCTAAAGCTTTTTGAAGTTTGTCAAACTGCCCTCCTACGGCGAAAAGCCGAACTTGTTTTCCCTTCATTTCAAAATACTTCTGCAAACTACTCACTATCTCATGCAATATTTTTCCAGGATATCTTTCGCCTCCTTCCTTTCTGACTTCTGTGATGAATTGAGAAAGAACTTCACATAGGTCTTCATCTCTTGATATATCTAATAATTCTGTGGTTTTCTCCAATATCTTTGAAACCTTTGACTTCTCATCCTGCTCATCTGCAAAGTTGCTCTTTCGCCAATTCTGCCATGACTCGTATAAACGGAAAGCCCACATTGCTTTTCTCTTGGTATTGGTTGGAATGGACTCTGATGCTAATTCCAACAAATCTTTCTCGTCCATTCTCTTGAAACGTGTTTCATGACTACACTTCTCTTCAATCACTAACAAGCAAATGAATAAAAATAAGTACAAAAAACCCTGAAATTACGTACAAGACGTACCTCATGATGAACTCGATAATACAAGATGCAAAATAATCTAAGAACATTTTTAAATTACCTGGACTTAAAACAGATGGATTTTCGTTTTCCAAAGCATCCAGCAATTGAGAAAGTATTGCATCGTCGTCATCATACGTCTCCATCTCCGTCGCAAGCTCAAACGAAATGCACATTTGGTAACACGCCAAGCTTGATTTTATAGTCCCGTGCGACTATGGAACGTGAATATGCAAAAACGTAAACGTTATTATTTCTATTCAAAGGGACAATATCCCATTTAGTGAAATTCCAGTAAGTAATTTTGCGCTTGCAGTTCATTAAAACAGGGCTCGAAATAACAGCAGGTCAAAAGACAATGTCCTTCCAAATTTGCTAAATGACCGGTCAAATCAGGTTTTGAAAGGAAAAATTGACTGGCCATATCAGTTTAGACAGAAAATTTTTTAGATTCACTAAACATTAAGTATTCAAAGTTTTTGTCCTTCCAAAAATTGGTTATGACCTTCTAAAAATGTATTATGAAGGTCATGCTGTCCTGCGTATGTCTTGTCATTATTTCGAGCCCTGCTAAAACTTTCATACTAAGTGCAGAACTATACCTACATGCTCATTTGTTAATGACTAAAATGCCAATCAACAAAATAAAGGTTGTAGGCGTATTTTAAAACGAAGCTTGTTGTCTTTTGTTCAATTATTATAGAACATTTTTCATATCACATTTCGAGCTTGTTAATAATTTTTTTCTTTTGCAAAACACTGAAAAGTTAATGACTTTTTTTTCTTCGAAAACAATGAAAGTGTGCATTAAAATGGGAATGGACTCGCTCTTCGCTTTATTGAAAATAATGACCTCGCGCTGCGAGATCCTTTTATCAAAGCTATATAATTACGGCATACATAACAATTGCTATGACTGGTTTATGTCGTATTTGGATAAGCGCCAACAGAAGTGTTCCATTAACGGTTCACTTTCTAAACCTTGTCTGCTAAATTGTGGCGTTCCCCAGGGGACGATTCTAGGACCTTTGCTGTTTTTATTATACATCAATGATTTACCGAACTGTTTATTGCATTGTCAACCTAGAATGTACGCTGATGATACGCATCTAACATACGCGGGCATTGATACTGATGATATTCAATCAAGTTTAAATCATGATTTGGAGAACGTTACGAATTGGCTTAAAGCAAATAAACTTACTCTAAATACGACAAAAACCGAATTCATGTTGATAGGCTCAAGGCAAAGGTTGTCTACTCTTACAAATCTCCCCAAGCCTGAAATCAATGGTTCTTCAATAGACCAAGTAACAAGTACGAAATCACTTGGAGTATACATTGATAGCAATTTAACTTGGAGTGACCATATTGATAAACTAACCAAGAAAATTGCTTCAGGAATTGGGGCCATTAAGCGAGTAAGACACCTTGTTCCTCAACTAACTTTGCAAAAAATTTATCACGCCCTAGTCCAGCCGCACTTTGACTATTGTAATGTCGTTTGGGGCAATTGTGGTACTACTCTACATAATAAATTGCAGAAACTACAAAATAGAGCAGCCCGTGTCTTGACCCATTCAAGCTACGATGCCAGCGCTGACAATCTTTTTAAAATTCTGGGCTGGAAAACCCTAGATTGCCAGCAACAAATGGCACGTGCAACAATGGTTTTTAAGTGTCGACATGGGCTTGCTCCTAATTATCTTTGTAATAAATTTAGTAACCACATTTCTTCATATGCACTAAGGGACTCTGTCGACAAAGTCAATGTTCCATTACCACGTACTAACTATGGTAAAAATAGCTTCAGTTATAGTGGAGCTATTGCATGGAACAGCCTTCCAAGTAAACTAAGGCAGGCAGAGTCCCTTAGGCAATTTAAACATCTATTATTACAAACAATTTAAGGCACGGCATTCATGGAAAACAGCTTTTTTAGTTGATATTTGTTTTTCGTTACATTGTATACGTGTTTTTAATTACGTATTGTATGTTAGCTGATGATTAACCGTGGATAAATAAAGATTT